TCTTCCTTTTAAAGTATTAATTTGCTTTGTCACCAATTTGCACAATACAATAATTTCATATTACTTTCCTAGCTCTAAGCATGAATTAGCTCTGTGTTACTATCTCTGGCTCCGACCAGCCATTTTATCTTTTTCCAGCTCATAACCCAGGTCTATAGAATGGGTGGCAAGTAAATTCATGCTGATGAACATAATTTCAAACAAATTGCTCAAATAAATTGTGCTGCATCTTTTTAAGATAGCCATTTCCCCAAATGTTCTCTTTAAAGCACAACACATTTGGTAATGGTGCTCTTCAGATGTCAGGTATCATCTAAAATAATGCATAACAGATTTCTTCTAAAAATATGCCACTTAAAAAAAATTATGCCGCAAATGCTAGCAGCTGTGCTGAAAATGTACCAAAGCAAAATAGCAGAGAGAAATGGGGGAACAAATCCCATCTGCTAATGGCCACACTCGCAGCTCGGAAGGGCTTGGGAATGTGATGCTTTATGGAGCACGGCTCTGGGGGCAGAACTCAACTAGCACGCCGGAAAAGTAATCCTACCATTAAAAAGGAACAACTGAAAAATGAAGTAGTATTACATCGCATGTCATTTCACGGATGTACTCCAAAAGAGGTATCAGCCTAAAAAAGAATATATTAAAGAAATTAAGTCAAATAATTAGCAAGGAATCTTGGTATGTGAAGTTGGCGAGATGCTGCATTCAAACAATATCCTTCTGTGTTGGTTGTCATTAAATGTTACCGTGAAGGTATAAGAATACAAGAAATGAATCAACAGCAGAACTATAGAAATTTATCTTAGCAGAAAATTGTTCCTATGCAACTGAATAATTAGTTTCACTTAAGTCACTCAGCCTGCTACCGCCGTCTGCATCCCCTTTTGTCTATTTCTTGTTAAATTCCTATTCAGCCATCACTCAGCTCTGAGATGATAGGATTGTATAATAAACAAAATAATTAGTTTCCAAACTCGTAATACACTGTAACGTATTTCCTGGAATGTGTTTTTTTTTATAACTGCTATTTTGCATTCTCTCACGATTGAGAACTCAGCTCACATGTATAAGAGAATTTGAAGACGGTATAATTTTGCCATGAATCCAACAGATGAAACTAAATTCACGCTCATTTAAGAGAGCTAAGTGAACAAATTTTGATGCACGTACCAGATGTCTGCACCAGCCAAGTCAGCCCGCACGTATTGACATGTATCACAGACAAATTACGTATAGATGGAGCACGTTCCCCTTCGGACTTCTTAAATAAGGACCACTACCGAAATGGGGTAACTCCCTTCGCCAGGGCAGTACCGACAGCCAAGATACTGCAGGGCAGACTGGCACCCTCTGCTCCACACCAGCACTGGCATATACTGGTAGCACTGAAAATGAGACATATGTCAGCTGAGGCCTTTAAAACAATCTCATTAAAACAGCACAACCTCTTTAGTCTTAAATGACAAGTGGACCCCAGGAGCATGGGATGCTCACAGGACTAACCTTACAGTCTGTGTAACCGAATAGAGGGAAAAACTTGCAGCAAGTCAGTTGAATACCTTTTCTTTTTCCCGCTGTAAGACTCAAAAATCCTTGTGAAATTTGAAGTCACTGTTTAATTTTCCAGTGGCGATGAAGATACGATAACAAGAGGTGAACTCACAACTCAGAATCATTCATCCCCAAGCACAGGTGAACTGCATGCTAAACTGCAGGGAGGATGAGCATGGGAGGGCATTTTCTGGGTGACTGGGTCCTTTGCAGTACAACGATGGGCACTGGCACAAGCAAACAGGCTGCATACTTACCTCTGGCTTTCAGCGCAAGCTAGAATATCAGACTGCACAGAGGAATTCAGCTTAAGAAACTGGCACCAGCAGTCTGCAACGACTCACAGCTCGTTGGCAGTAGGTAGGAAGCGGCTGGTTACAGACTCGGGGTGGCGATTTCCCAAGCCTGGGTCTCTACTGGCGAAGCTAAGAGAGGTGCTCTGTCAGCTTAGCCGGTAGAGAGAGCTGCCCCGAGTGAGTAATGGTCCCCGTGCCGCCCTGTGCGACGGGGTGCAAGGTCTGCATCTCCACCTGAGGCACCTTCGCCACCCCGTCCTCTGTGATTGCCCCCAGCTACCACCTCCTTTAAGGGAAAAGGGAAAAAAAGAACAGTTTTGAAGCGACTCCTCTGAAATGCTCTATAAATGAAGCCGTGTTCATATAAACAATTAACTGGAGAGATGGGATGAGATGACGAGGGCAACTCAGGCTTCTGGTGGGAGGATGGAGAGGAGGAGAGAGAGGCCAGCGAGACTGTTGGGGCCGTAGCGCCCGGAGGGCAGCACCGGTGCTCACCTTCCCAGAGAGGGCAGCGGGGCTCCCGCAGGGCTGGGGCACAGCCTGAACTCGGCGCTAGTGGCCAGCGATGGGGGTGTGCGCTGCCAGGAAGGCATCTGCCTGTCTGCTGCAACGCCGCGGCATCACAGCCTGCAGCATTCAGTGCCTACAAAATGCTACCTCAAAAGAAAAGCCACTTCGTGAAAAAAAAAAAAGCCCTTTGATTTACAACATCTCTAGAAACAACTAACCCCTTCCCCACCTCCCCTAGCTTAGTCTTCTGCGGGAGGTCTTCTCCGACCCACGTTCTCCTCCCTGGGGACTTCTGCTGGCTGAGCTGTGCCCAAAGCCACCTAAAAAAAAAAAGCCCTTTGATTTACAACATCTCTAGAAACAACTAACCCCTTCCCCACCTCCCCTAGCTTAGTCTTCTGCGGGAGGTCTTCTCCGACCCACGTTCTCCTCCCTGGGGACTTCTGCTGGCTGAGCTGTGCCCCCGAGAGCCAACGTCTGTAGCTCAAACAAACAAGTAGTCCTTCATCACAGCGTGTTATGACAAACTGCAGAAAGACAGCACTTTGTGATTGATGGATTAAAACAGTACAGCACGTGTCATCGTGTTTGCTCCCCTTCCCTCTTCACTGGAGACCTATCCATGGCATCGCAGCACACCTGGCTCCACTCCCTCAACATTCACTGACCAGGGCCAAGGGCTTGCTCATGGATGGTGTCACTCTTTGTAAAAGGTCTTTCAGCACAAGCAAAAATAGAAGGATGGCCCTGCCCTAGTTACGACCATTTTAAAAATCCTTTTTAGTTTCCTTAGGGCTGTAAGCATTAGTTGGCCGGGTTTAATTCAATGAACTCGAAGCAATGAAGTTCATGGAAGCTGGTTTGTACAAAGAGTTTTCTTTCATGGAGGCAGCATTAGGCAATGCGGTGCTGGATCCCAGGAGAATATTAAACATTTAATATACTGGCAAGTATAACGTTATATAAAAATGTTGCACGAAGGATGAGCAGCAGAGCTAAGAAGCATAAAAAAGCTCGCGCTCATCTCCAGGCTGCTGCTGAGCGCTGCGGACCTCCAGTTATTGAACAAACCTGAATTCGAGAGCTTTTCCTTCCTTTATTATTACACAGTGGCTTTTGCTAACATCAGAGATGAGTAGCTGAGCAATTTCCTATGTAGCCAACTGTAAGCAACTCGTATTAATAGAATGCAGCAATAATTTGCAGTAATTGTCCGAAACTGCACTTTACTGAAAATACTGTTATTATTGATTTTGGACCAAAGCTGAAGTATTTTTATAAGAGAGATTAGGAGATATTGTTCCCTAAGGAACTGGGTTTACTAGCTGTAAGAGAGTGTCACTATGAAAATTAATCTCAGTACTTTTCAGTATAACAATGTCTTTTAAATTAATTTTCCTGGTAATTCCTGTACCCGAGGTGACCAATAGTACCCAGCCTGCTCTAGCTACAGCTTCTCCTCACCAGGTTAAACACTGCAGAAATTGCCAGTTTTACAGGGTAAGGTTGGCAATATGAAAGCACACTGGTTAACTTTTGCAATACACGAGCTCATTAAAGCAACTTTGAGAGTCTCACTACCGTACAGGCTGCCTGAAAGACTGGGGGAAGCCTCAGCTCAGCAGAAGGCGGTGCCAGCTTTGCCACTGCTGTCACTGGAGCTAGGATTTCCATCCACATCTGTATCAAAAGCACAGCAAACACAGACGCAGTGCTCCTGCACCGGTGTGTGCAGAAGACTGGTCACTGGCGTACAAAAGGTGACATTTGAATACGCTAGGCAAAACTACCAAAACCTCTTTCCTTAAGATTCATTTCCAGCTTAGTGCATCAAAACACTTCCCTGTTGCAAGCAACAATCTCTAGTTTTGAGCTTCGCCTATTGCAAGCTCTAGCTCCTCACACGTTACCGTTACTGCTATTATTTTACCATTAACGGGTGACTACCATCTCTGTGTAACATTATGTCTTTGCTATGATTGTTGCTTAACTCTCACCTCTTGAGCCCACGCTGCGATTAGATGAGCAGCCACCCTTTCCTTCCCTGAGCTACAGACCCACCCAAGCCGCTCTTCTCCGGAGACCAGGCTTCCTCCCAGGGGCTCTGGTGGCACCAGTTCAGGCCAGCAAAGCAGCGCGTGCTGGTACTGGTTTGCTTGACCCCCTCCCCAAAAGAGAAAAGAAGGGAGCCCTCTTGCCTCCGGGTCTGTGCTGGCACAGCTGATCCTGGCGAAAAAAGCTTCTCGAGAACCACTCTGCATCACAGCTAAATCATGGCGAAGGACCGAAGCCTTGTCCTCAGGGGTTAGTACGGCGGCCAGAGGTGATCACTGGTTTCTTGTACAGTTACAATAACTGATTTGCTCTGCGTACGTCCCACCAATACTGGACTTTCTATCTGTTAGTTAAATAAGGTTTCCAAACTTGACCAAGCCTGCTGACGATATTAAATAAGACCGATTCTTTGAAAGAGCTACTGGGCAAGCAAATGGCTTTTTTTTTCCCCACCACAATTATTCAAATGGTTTTAATCTGCATTCTTTTTTTTTTTTTTTTTTTCCTTGAGAAGTAAAATAACAGCCTTGCCGATTACTCTTTGCTAAGGTACCCGATTGTGGTGACATTGAGGCTGACCTTGGAGTCACCTCCCCCGCTGCCGCACTCTCCTTTGTCGTACCACCATTTGTTTTTCAATTTGTCCAAGAGGCCTTGCTCATTCAGTTTTAATACTGCCAGGTTAACAGCATTTCTTGAAACGATAAAACATAACTTGTAAGAAAAAATGCACAAATGCTTAGGAAATCGTAACGTATAAAAAAAGGAGCACAAGAGGACAAATTGGCTAAAATTTCACAGAACGTGGAGCTATCAAAATGTCTGTACAGCAAATACAGGGTTAAATATTGGAAGGTGGCATGGAGGATAACATTTGCTCAAAACTGAAGTGTGCGGGATGGGGAAATCGTCTTTGAGAAAAAAAGTAACAAGAACACCACATCATGCAGTTAACATCCGTCACATATGGCAGGTTAACTCGGCTTTTACCATTTAAATTGAAAAAGCCATTGAACTGTAAAATTAAAACAGCAACAAACAATCAGAAAGGACAACACGAAGAGAACACTAAAAAAATGGATGCATTAAATAAACGAAACCATAATTTACCGTCTTATTTAACTCCATGGAATATTGAAGATTTTAAACTTTAAAGTTACCTCAAAATCCACAAGAAAGAAAATGACAACACAATACATCAGGGTAGGTGGAATACTATAACAACATGGATATTGTTATATTATTCCACCCACCTTAATGCTGAGCCTTTGGGAGTTGCTACACCATAGCCCTTGGAATCCAGGTTGCCGCCAACTTTCATGGTGTCACAGGGCTTGCGCTGCTCGATGTACTCGTTCATCGTCGACTCCAGCAGGAAGGCAAACTTCCCCTTCGACTTCCGCACCCTCGCCACCCCGTCCGCCGTCGTTTTGGTGAACACTGAGGGCTCGGCCGACTTCATGTACGACCACATTTTCTCGTAGACGGCTATTTTTGACCTCTGGGAGAGACGAAAGGAGGGAAATGAAGAGCCATGTTGGCAAGGGCACAAGACTGAGCTCCTTGGGCTTAGTCGGCTTAGAGGTATAAATAACACCCTGTAACTGATTAAGGCTAGCAAAGAAAAAAGTCAAGGTAGCTCGGAAAAAGACACGTTGCCCCCTAAACAATGACCAAACCATAAAATGGTTGGGGAGGGGGAAACATATCTCAGACATTTATTCTACTAATTGCCATGTAATTGGCAGCCTCGCAGTCAGAATGAGGAACGGTGCGTGCCCGTCCCAGCGCCTCGGTTCCTGCTCTGCGGTGGGTTTATCCGCCTGCACGCTGCTCTGCTACTGAACCAGAGGGAGGATGTTAAGTCCTAGCTCATCCACCATGGCCAACAGATGCAAAAGAAGCCTATCCTCTTCGCACAAATCCTCGGCATTGGTTTTTGTGCTAACTCACAGCTAGGAAAACACCGACACTTGCCTATTACAAGTTCCCAGCAAGCCAGGAGTCTGCTTTTCACAGCGGTGATGGCAGGTCTACGATACAGGAGACCAGGACAGCTCTAGCGGCTTCTAATAGTGATGCTCATGAGGGATATAAATAGTAATTACAAAATCCTTTATGAATCAATAGTCAAACTTTCAAAATTCAGTTTCACATTTTCCTAAAAGATAGCAAGCACAAATATTAGCAATAAGCAGAAAAAATTGCTGGTTAACTGCTTGCGTTTCATGTATATATATGTATTTTTTCCTGTTTTTCTCATTTTGAGACTGAGCCAATCCTAACAGCCTCTAGCTCAGCATACAGGTTTTGTAAACCTGGAAATGTTGAGAAACGTGTTACTTCCCCTTCTCCCTCTTCCCCACCAGTAACATTTAAACCACCCTCAGATCTTAAAGCCACCTCCAGACTCTTAAGCAGTCATATCCTGGACTACCGGTTAAACTTTCCTGCTTGGTCAACAGAAGGCAGTAATGCCAACTGTATTTCTCTAAAGTCTAGAAATCCAAAGGATTTATATAAGGCTTTCACTCCGCTGTGGGTATCTCGAATTTATGCCTCCTACTCCTTGCCAGTTTCCTGTTCACAGCTTTCCTTGCAGAATGGGAATGAGACAGGCAGTAGCTAAATCTAGTTCAAATTTAACAAACTTGTGGCAGAAGACTGTTAATGTCCATCAGCTTGATGATCGAGACATGCTTCCTCCTCATTCAGGACAATTTAATGTGTTTTGAATAATGTAATGCTTAACAGCCAGCCTCCAGACATTTCACGGGGAGTAAGCCCTGCCTTCACCGTTCTTCAGATTTAACGTGCTCAGCTGGTGTCGCTATGACGGATGGAGAGGAGCACAGAGGGAAAGATTTTATCTTAATTGTCCTTCCTGATAAGCTGAAAAACAACTGAAAATGCAAACCAATTAAAATCAGCCCAATCGACAATAGGAAATCAGAGAGACAACAATACAGTGCAGCTTTGTTAGGAGCTGGCTGGGTGGTGGGGTGTGAGAAACAAGCAAGCGGGATTTCAACTGAGAGCACTTCTTGGCTGAAGATGGGCTGTACGGCTTCATTTGTCCAGCATCAGGGGTGAAGAAGCGGTGGGAGGAAGGGGGATGTAAATGGGGCCCGAAATGGTCCCTACACAGGTAAAAGAAGGAATCAGGGGATTTGCCTGGCTTCCCCCTGCAACAGCAACCACTGAATAACCTGATATGAGGACAGTGGCTCTGAAGCCACGGGGGGAAGTGCGGCAGCCCAGCTTCTGGTGAGGAGCGTGTGCTTGCTGCCCTGCGCTGGCACCGCGTGGCACTGCCTCGCTGCCTCTGCCAGCCTCAGACAGTTGGGTTTGGACAGGGCCAGCTCCGAGCCCCAGCTGACAGCGGGGCCGTGGGTCAAGCCCAAAGAGAGACGTCTCACTGGGGCTCTCCGTCAGGCACCCATGGGCCAGCAGTTAAAACATGCTGCTAGCTGCTTTATCACCGATTACCTGAGGCACCCTCTCCGAGCACACTGACCTGGCTCTCCCGCTTTTCCAACAACCCCCTTGATGCACATGGGCGTTTTCACACCTCCTTCCCTGTCGGGAGCTGCCCAGGGCACAGCGCTGCTACCAGGCACCCGCCGGAGGGGCCGTGGGGACCCCAGGGCTACCAGAGGTGCCGGGAGGTGGTGGCTGTCACCGGCTCAGCGGCTGCCACCATCCTCGTGCCCCGCGGGCAGCAGAGCCCGCGTGGCAGCTGTGTGCACCTGCGCAAGCGCAGAGCAGGCAGCGCAGGCAGAGCACGCCGCGGCCCAAGGCACGGCCCTGCCCACGGCCGACCTGCCTGCTCTTCTTTCGCAGCTCCCTCATGCAGAAAGGTAACAGAAACAGCCTGGCTGGCCAACACAGAGACTGCGTGAGCAACGGCAATGCCGGCGTGTCCTAGTTTCAAGGTGCTTGTCCTTACAAGCTTCATCTTCTTTTAACACAAATAATCCAAACGCACCTGCCCATTTATATTTGCAAATGGGCATCTAAGGGACAAAAGGAAGGTAAAAACACAGCTTCACTCTTTCTCTTTATATCTCTCAGCAAGCTGAAGTGGTTAGCCTTCAAAAATTGTGCATGCACTACGTATGCTTTTGCTTGTTTTCCTCTGCAGAGTATGCCTTTAATTACACAGATAAACCAGAATTTCTTTTCATCTTTTAACTCACACCAGAATATCTGTCTTTAATAAGTTCTTTCATACTCTTTCCAGCTGGCCTGACTACCTAAAAGCAATTGCCAATACATCTGTGCATTGTTAATAACAACAGTTATCTGATGAGCGCCAACAGCATGCTCAGGGCTGCAAATGGTCCAAACAAAGCTCGTTCCCTGCTCCAAGGGCAAAGGGTGAATATCATCATTCATGCTTCAAAAAACCAAATTCCACAACTCAAAACCGGGTCTCTTTTCAACTTTAAGAAATAGCCTAAGCTTTATAGTTTGCTCCCTTCATTTAACTCTTTTGGATGATGTGGTTAATAAAAATCAGTACATTTTTATATGATCGTTGCCCACCTCTTCTTCAGCCAAGTGGGATTTTCATAATATCTTGTTATTATCAAACTAACTAAATGAGTATAGCAGTCTGATCTAGTAGAATTAGACAAAAATGCAAGCTAGAAATGAACATAGCAGGTATTGACTGGGAAAGGTTAAAATAAAATGCATCGGGCACGTGTTGGTTTTGGAGCAGCCAGAGCCGGGCTGGGGGAGCCTGGGTGAGGACCCGCGAATGTCCCGGGAGCGGGGACCAGGGAGGTGACGGGCTCTGGCCACTGCGTCCTGCTCAGTTACAGTTAGCACTGCTTTTTGCGGCCGTTCCTCTACATTCATAATGAGGCCAAAATAACGATTTATGATGAGGCTTCTTAGAGAAAGGGACAGTGCCACCAGAGGAGCTGTGAAACCTGCAAACCGCCTCAGAAGTGCCCGAGGGCATTTTCTGCCCCAGGAGCCACATTTTACACCTGCTCAACAACATGAAACAACCAGTTGTCTAAAGCTGGTCAAAGATGCAACGAGATGAAATGAAAGATGGTATTTTGAGTAAATATTTTCCTTTTTCCAATTTTCCAATTGCCTCAAAAAAATTCCCAGGAGCCCATAAAAGACTTTAAGAAAAGGAAAATTTCTTTCCTTTCTAACTATAAAGCTGCAAATTCTGTGCTGAAGGAACACTTTCCCCCATCTGTCCTCCTCTGCAGACATTCACGCCGACCCTCCCAGCCCTCGCCAGCCCCTGCGTGCCCCCCCAGGAGTCTGACACCTGCGAGAGGGGCCAGACAGCAGGAGGAACTGTAGAGAAAGGATTTACACTCCAAAGTAAGGTAAGGTCTGACAGATCTGCACTGCTGCTAGAGTTCAGCGGCAGTAAAACATTTTCCCTCTCATTAAAGTGTTACTTTTAAAGACATATTTAGAAAAAGAGCTTAAAAGCAAAGATTTAAACCAATTCAAATCCCATAACTGCAGTAACTCCCTATGCTCTGCAACTCCTATTTCATTTCTTTGATACTGCTCTCAAGAAGTCCGTCACACACATTTCCTCGGGATTTCAAGGGGTTATTATTATCATTTATTTCTTAAAAGCAACATTTTCAGTGTTTCATCTAGGCCTTGGGACACATTAAAGCGTCTTTCCATTATCACAGCCTTACTGCAGATATACACAGAGCTGGCCTTTGCTTTGTCAATAGTGCTGGCTTTTTTCTTTATTTGGAGATGTTTATGCAGAAGTATGAGCCACGCGCACCTCAGCTCAAGGGTGTAGGGAGCTCCCTTTCCTGTCAGCAGAGCCAGCAGCTCTCATGCTGAGGAGTCTCTTCACTTGGCCCGTTACTAACCGGTACCTAAACACACGTTGCTTCAGGGTAGCAATGCGTTCATTGTAAAAGAAGGTGCCAATTCAGTCAGTCCACAATTTTAACACCGTCTTTCATCCTAATTCTCCTAGTTTTGATGTGTGGTTGGCTCCAGTACTGAAATGAAAAAATCAAACAAACCCACAGCGTGCCATAGCATCAAAAAGCGCAGCTGGACGGGGCTGGGCGCGCGTTGCAGGCAGCGGGAAGGAGGCAGGTTTACCTCTCAGTTGCAGTTATTTCTTCAATCCATTCAACAACAACAAAAACCCAGCACCCCCAAACCTGGCTCCAGCTGAGCGGGACCAGATGCTTTGGTTTCATTTTTGCATATCCCAAACCGCCTAGAGATATATTGCAAACCCCAGCACATCTTGGATGATTCCTTGACATCGGTTAAATTTAGCTCTAAAACATCTTTGTGACTGAAGCCTTCTCCCGTTGACCGAATTACCTTTCCCCCTCTGCAGACATCTGTCTCACGCTTTTGCTAAAAGTGACATTGTGTCACCTCCTTCCACTACTGAGTAGCGGTGAAGCTATTATATTTGAAAGAAACAGCATTTTTCCTCTATAGTTAAAGTATGTTACAGGGATGTCCTTTGCC